GGGAACCGGTCTGTATGTGGGATCCGAACCCTCGGGCGGGAGCGCCGCCGCGCTTCCCAAGCGGCGCACTATCCAGTGCGCCACTGGGCTGGCCCATAATTTTCTAATTAGATGGAAAATGATTGTATTTTCTGGGGAGGTGTTGTCCCAAATGGTAGTCTAGAGTTTTGACCTCCTATGACCTGGATGGGATCTAAGAATAAAAGGAAAAGGAAACGTGTGTGGGAAATGTGTGTGGGGAAGCTGGAAAAGTCAGAATGATGTTTTCCATGAAGAAAAATATAGAAGCAATGCATGAGATGAGTGGTGTGTGTTTTGATGTGGATTTAGGAGTTAGGTTGACTAAAAGATATCTGTAGTAGGTATGGCAGACATTATTGGGGAGGGAGAGTTGTCATGAAGCCGGAGGAAAACATTCGTGATCCATGAATCTTGTGGGTCCTGGTATTATAGCTATGCATAAGGAAGAGTGCCCATGTATAAAATAGGTGTTTTCAGATTAAATGGCTTCTTCAAATGATAAGGACGTTTAATTTTTCCTCTTTTTGGAAGTTGTGTCTAGGCATGAGTGTGTGTCACTTTTGCACTCTCTCTCCTCTTTTTTATCTCTGTTGCTCTTTTTCTCTGTCCTTCAAGTTTAGAATGAAACATATATCTGAATCTGGTGGAAAGATAACCTAGGAGGTGAGGCTGTTGGCATACATGCCATTTTGTAGTGGAATTAGCCAGATGCTGAGAATTAGTCGGTGAAATGAAACTTTGCTCATGTTACTGAAGTGGCAAAAGTAGGTTGCTATTTCCTTATTAAAGGTGAATCTCGTAGCCATTAATCATTCTGTTATCTTCTTCCGTATTAAAAGGAAAAACCTTTTGAATAAAGAAGTATATATAATCATTTGTTTGAAAACAAGGAAAAAGCATAAAGTGTGTATATTTGTAGTTAATTTTTTCACACTCCTGTATCAGGAAATCGTGCAGTATATGCTACATTCGTCCATTTTCTGTTGCTTATAAAAGAATACCTGAAAATGGGTAATTTATAAAGATACAAAATTTATTTCTTACAGTTTTGGAAGCTGAGAAGTCCAAGGTCCAGGGGCACATTTGGTGAGGACCTTCTTCCTGGAACTCTCTGTCAAATCCCAAGGCATCACAGGATATCATATGGCGAGGCGGGCAAGAGCATGTATTATGTGCTCACTTGCTCTGTTTATAAAGCCACCAGTACCCCTACTGTGATAACCCACTTATCCATTAACCCATTAATCCATGAATGGCTTAATTCATTCATGTGGGCAGAACCCTAACAATCTTATCACCTCGCAAAGGCCCCATCTTTGAATTCTGCCACATTGAGGATCAACCTTGCACATGTGCTTTGGAGGGGTCAAACATTCAAAACATACCATATGCCAAATACTAATAAAAACAAAAATACTAGTAACTTCATATTCTTACACTTTATGCTAAGCCTATTTTCAAAATGCCCAAGGCTTTTATTCAGGACAAAAATACCACGAGATTCTAAAACATTTTTTAAAATAATGATAAAAATTTCAGATTATTTTGTAGTCTGAAAGTCCTATATATGTTCATGCCCATTAGAACTCTTTACTTTTAGGGCTGGCCCGTGGCTCACTTGGGATAGTACAGTGCTAATAACACCAATGCCACGGGTTTGGATCCCTACATAGGGATGGCTGGTTCGCTCACTTGGGAGTGTGGTGCTGACAACACCAAGTCAAGGGACTGGCCCGTGGCTCACTTGGGATAGTACAGTGCTAATAACACCAATGCCACGGGTTTGGATCTCTACATAGGGATGGCTGGTTCGCTCACTTGGGAGTGTGGTGCTGACAACACCAAGTCAAGGGTTAAGATCCCCTTCCCAGTTATCTTTTTTTTTTTAAAAAAAAAGAACTATTACTTTTAAAACGTCAGATTCTGATTCCTCGTGTGTAAAATTTTTATTGCTTAAATATATGTAATTTGGTATATAATAATACTTAAGCAGCATAAAAAGCAGGCTTATCTTCTCCATATTCATCACAATACATCTGCATAAAATTAGAGATGAGAAATAATTTATTTTATGATTTGTCTTTTTAAAATTCAATTCCCCAACTATTTATTGAACACTTAGCTGTGCACTCTATAATGTGTTAGATGGTGGATTAGTCTGCTTTCTGTCACTCATAATAGAATACCTGGAACTTGGTGATGTATAAAGAAATGAAATTTATTTATTACAGTTTGGATGCTGGGAAGTCCAAGGTCTGGGGGGCACATCTGGTGAGGGCCTTCTTCTTAGTGGGAACTCTCTACAGAGTCCCATGGTAACACAGGCATCACATGGCAAGAATAGAAAGAGCATTTTCATGTGCTCTCCTTATAAAGCCACCACTCCACACCCATGATAACTCATTAATCTATTAACCTATTAATGGATTAATTCATTCATGAGGGCAATCCAGTCACCTCCTAAAGGCTTCACCTTTCAACACTGGGCACATTGGGGATCAATCTAACAATGAGCTTTAGAGGGGACAAACATTCAACCCATAGCAGATGGGAAAGCTACAAAGAGAAAAAAAAAGATCATCAGAGAACAGACAAAAATGAAAACAAATAAATGATAACATTACATGAAAAGGGTAAGAATAAAAAGTAAGCACAAAGTTCAGAGGTAGGGCAGGCCTGTTTAAAGTAATTAACTTTATCTTGGAGAGTCAAGAAAGGCTTCCCAGACTTGCCATCTGCCCTCTTTTTCGCTTCTTCCCCACAACTACATTTACTTAGAAGAATATGCCCTATGCTGGGATTTAAAAACAACGAAGTGACCGTTCTTACCATCATGGAAATCACATGTGGCAGAGTCTGTGTTAGAGGTGTTGTATGTATGTACGCTCTGGGGCCACAGATGAGGAGGCTTTACTTCGTCATTGCTATTTTCATTAATGATGATACATATGGCCTTTTTGGGTAAGGGAAAGCCACCTAGAGAGCAAGTGATTTTGACCTAGGCCGAAGATTTTTTAAAAGAGCTCATTAGTTTAGTTAATGGACTCAAAATTACAGCAAGATAGGTAAAATAAGTTCTAATATTGTACTGTAGTGCTAAGCATCTATAATAACAATAATTTATTGTATGTTCTCAAATGGCTAGAAGAGAGGAGCTCAAATGTTCTCATCACAAAGAAATGATAAATTTTGGCAGCGATGAATTTGCTAACTACCCTGATTTGATCATTACACATTGTGTACATATATTAAATGTAACTCTGCATCCCCTCAAAACAGTGTTTATATAACAATAAACAATAATTTGAAAGTTTAAAGAAAAAGAGAAAAAAGAGAAAATTAGGTAAATAAGGGACAAGATGAAATTCCAGGCAATAGAAATTCCAGTACATGCAAAGAACAAAGATTTAGTTAATGTGTATGTGGGAGCGCCTTCCAGTTGTGAGAAGAGAGTGGGCTTTGGTTCCACTTCTGGCTCTACCACTTGCTCAGCAACCGTGGATAAGTTCCTCTGACTTTGATTCAGTTTCTCCATGTGTAGAATGGAAACATTATTATCAATGATTTTTTTTGGATTAAGTGAGAAACATAAAGGATCTGTGGTGTTCTTTAGTCTTCTAGTCCTTATGTTAATGTCTCTTTAGTCATTTTGATTCTGGCATTAAGTATTGCTGTGAAAAATGATGATAGTTTTGTTTTCTTTCCCTGATAAGTGACTTGGTCTTTTTGATTGGACACTCAAAGGATAGCTTTCTTTTTTTTTGTTTGTTTGTTTGTTTTGTCTTTTTGTCTTTTTTTCCATGTCCGGCAACGGATCGCAACCCTC